ATGAATTCAATTAATTAGATATGTTTTTGATTAAACCATTAAATTTACAAAGATAAAAAAAAAAAAAAAAAAAAAAAAAGCGCTGAGACAATTCTTGTTTTTTAAATATCTTTTGTGTTTCACAGACGGTTGACATGAGTGTGCGTAAATGCTGACAATTTCATTTTTGGGCAAACTATCCCTTTAAAACTGCTTGTAGGCAACTCAAAAAGCTATTAGATTAAGTGCACTTATGAAAATGTGGAAATGTGCAATCTGCACATAATGAAGATCTCAGAGCGAATAAGCTCTTTGTGTCCTGTCAGACTGTCCTGTCCTGTCTTGCAATCACCCTGACCTTTAAAGTCAGGGTGCCTATGCTTAATTTAATTACAGTAACAGAGCTTTTCCCAAAGCAGAACAATCAGTAAGGATCAATGTTGACAATCTGAAACACAGGATTCATTTTTTGTTAACTATTTATGGTGCATTTAAAGGTCAAAACACTGCCATAAAATATGGCAGCAGAATAACAGTTGAGTTTGAACACATCTGACATTTTGAAAGGAAAAGCAAGTATGTTTGACTCAATACAGTCTACCTTCATTACTCCCATTTCATACTCAGTTTACGTTCATGACCCAGTGGATCCCACTGAGTGTTTAAGGAAGAGATGCAGAAGGGTCTAGTACAGGTCCAGTGATGATCTAAGAGAGATCAGAGATCTGTAGAAGGCCTGTGAAAGCCCTGCTGGTGAGAGACTGTAATGCCAGCAGACTGTGTCAGTTATGAGCTCTGTGCTGTGAGCTGCAACTTATGTACCAAAAGGACCTTGGAGTGTTAAAGTGATATTATATGGATCTGTAACATTAGTATGAACTTACAAACATACACATGGAACTGATTCAGGGAGTAGATGTTAGTTTGCTATTTGTTTCAATGTCTACTTCGGCATTGATCTAAATTAAAATTAAGGGTAAATATAATTTAATGTTAGTTATAGAATTAATTAATAATAATTAAATTAACTAATTTAATTATTTAAAAAATTAAAAAATGTAAAAAATTAAATTTTTGTGTTACACTGAAAAACTAAGAGCATTAGGGGTTTGAGTGTAAATAATGACATAATTTTCATTTTTTATTTTAACTACTCCATTCATATACTCCCTTCACAGGGCTGCTTGTCCTACAGTTTCATATATCTTTCCAAGAGATACAGTGAAAGAGCCATGAGAAAATTTTCTCTAGTACTTGTTTTAATCCTCTTTATCTATAAATGAATTGGCTAATGAACGTTTTGGACAATTAATGGAGGACTGAATAATATTTTAAAGTAAGCAAACTTTTTCAACCTCCTTAGAGCATATGCAGAAATGGCCAGTATTCTGTAAGCAAGAATTATTTCCAGGACAAATTATACCAATACATTAAAATATATTTACTGTAGAGCCAGAGAGACTTTTGCTTTTGGATGCATGGCAAAAATAGAAGAATCCAAGGAGAGGATAATTCAAAGTATGAGTTACTGCAAACTATACTGAGGCGTCCCCATAACTGCTTATATTTTGGAGATAAATTTAAACAAATCAGACTCATTTATGCATTAAATAGTCCAGTTTGAACTCCACAAGTGCTCATATACTGTTATAAAATACTCTCCAGTGAAGAATTAATGTGTGAAGGTGGTTTAAGTTCATTTAAGCATGTACCGTTCATCTTCAGATCATTATACGAGTATAAAACTCGGTTAGCTTTTATAATTCATGCCTTAAATGATCATTTCAAGCAAACATACCACTAGCCAGGGAGATGGAAGTGATGGTCCACTTAACTGCAGTGGTTTTACAGATTAAGACTGAACCTTAAAATTTGAAACCAGGCATTTAGACAGAAAATAGAGAAAGGTGTGTTATATTGTAGCTAAATATGCTAGCCCACAGAAAAAGTATCTTAGATTGCAGATTTATAATAATTATAATAGTAAATCAATATTGTAATGTTGTGTCTTGTTGCTAGGCGGATTGTTTTCTTTTTTGAAATGGACTGTTGTTATTAGCAAAACCTTAAAGCTAATCTACAAATTTAAATCTCAAATCAGTATTTTATGTCCACATATTTATTTATTTAGTAAGAAGCCATGAAATAAGTGGGATAATGTCCAGTCAGCTGGTCATTATCCCAAAATAAACCCCTTCAGGGTGAGCGGACTGGCTGACTGTACACTATCTCTTAGTTATTTAAACCACAATGACATATAACAACAAATCTGGTTTAGATTTGGATGACGGTTACAGGCTGATTTTCAATATTCCAATATGTAGTTTACTTTAAATAACTGTTACTAATGATAGATACTTTCTGTTTTTTTGCCAGACAAACAACTACACTGCAAATGGAATGTAATAGCATACAGCCAAGAACTAGATGAAATCCATATTTGATTTAGAATAAACAAGTAATTATCTGACACAAGGGACACATGCTTGATATAATATAAACAGAGGACAAAATAGCACCATGAATATAAATATAAATAAATATTAAGTGTGTGCACTGAAGAAAAAAAACAGAATTTCACTCAGAAATTGCTAGTTAATTTCACAAATAATAACAAAGAAACATGAAATTCTGAAGTATAAAGACTGAAATAGTTTTTTTCTTGTAAAACATACTACAATAAACTTTGTTTTATTTACAACTTGTGTACAGTGTACTTTTTAAAAGTAAAATGCTTTCTCCTGTCTGTGCTTATATTTATATTTGTCAGCAAAAACATTTCACAACTGTTTGTATCCTTGCTCACAGATAGTCTGATCGAGCCACATTAACTTTTACGTTTAAGTTTTACTTTTTAGTGCAGCTCATCACAGCGTGGTATTAGAGATAAATCAAGCCTGTCCAACAACACCCCAAAAAAATGATAGGAGAGACTGAAGGAACATTAATTACAAGACTGCTGTACAAAACTGAGCTCAGACAGAGGAGGAACTGTGGTCCATTCACAGCAGCAGAGTGTAAATATACAGAGAGATTTCAAACCAGACTTATGAAATACAGCAATTCATATAACAGCGGCCCATGGGCTCTCTACAGACTCATGCAATTCATCGCAGAATGCAGGAAAACATTGAAATTGTGTTTTTAATTATGTGATAATAATATAATTACAAATTAATTATCAGACTAATTAAATTTTTAAAAATCATAAATTTCAGAATCTTATTTTGTTCATTTTCTTTTGCTTTAATAACAGCAGCACTCAAGCTGCATGAACTCCACAAGTTTGTGTTAAACCTGATGATCATGTTTTCCAGAATGATTTGAGATCCGAAGAACATCTTGAGCTTCAATGGAAACAAGAACATCTGACAGAATGTACATTCACTGAGATCAATGCCACACATTTGCTTAGTGACCTAGAAAAAGTGCAGAACCTGACATTTCTTTTTCAATTCATGTCAAATTTTAAAACTATGTTTATTTCCAGGTTAAAATCTCAGAACTTCAATGTGGTCTCAGACTTCTGGATCCCACTGCGCACAAGGTAATAGGGAAACCCACATTTCAACCAAAATAACAAATGTTATGTTGTTTGGCCCTCAAAGTCCTGCAGTTATGTGAGGTACAGCTGGGATACTGCAATTGAATCAGAAGGTAAAATCAACGACATATGTGAGCTTGAACTCCTCAGGTCTACAGGTTAGAAAAACAACTGCTTCTTATCATGATAACCTCTGAAACACTGAGTTAAGATCACTGAACTTTGCTTTGAAGTTTAGCAAAGATCTGGATTGATATCATAGATGCGAGCCATGCTTTAATCATGCATTACTATCTGTATTACAAACATTACAGGCTTATGTGGAGACTATCACATTCAGTTTGCCAGGTAAGCGCATCTTAAAAATGTGTGGTTCTGTGGTGCCAAAATCTAAGTCTGTCTTCCACATTGTTGGAGTAAAGCAGGTACATCAAATAGCAAATCAGGACGCAAAATGTTAGTCCAATATTCATAAATAAAGAGGATCAGAGGAATTCTTAGGAATGAAAAATAATGGACATCTCTGACTGCAGCCTGATTATGCCAAACAGCCTCCCTTTAATCCAAAACACTGTTCTCCTTAATCTTGCATTCCGTGTAAGAGAGCATTACCCTGGAGCACGTTCATTCAAGACCAGTTCTCCGTTTAAGGTAAGGTAAGGTAAGGTAAGGTAAGGAAAGGAAAGGAAAGGAAAGGAAAGAGACCACTAATTCTAACTTCTACATTTTGTTTTTTTAAATAAATTAATACTTTTATTCAGTAAGGATGCATTAAATTGACAATAAATACATTTGTAATGTTACAAATGATTTCTATCTTAAATAAATGTTCTTTTGAACTTTCTATGTAAAGAAAGAATCAAAGAATCATGGAAAAAAAAGTATCACAAGTTTCGACAAAATTTTTTACCAGCAATACTTCAACATTGATAATAAATCATGTGACACTGAAGACTGGAGTAATGATGCTGAAAATTCAGCTTTGCCATTCCAGAAATAAATTAATCTCTAAATAAATAATAAATTTAAAACAATTATTTAAAATGATATTTCACAATATTACCATTTTTACTGTTGTAAATGAATGCAACCTTGGTGATTCTTTAATTGTTTTGCCCACAGTTAACAGAAATCAACTTATATATGACACTGAGGAAAAAATAAGTTGCAGTGTTGAACTGCTCACTTAAATGAGTTTACACTTAAAAAACTCACAACACAAGCGCTTTTGTCTTTCACATCTTGCTATGAAGATTCTCTACACAGCACCAATTTGGCAAAAAGAGAAAGAACGGAAGTTGAAAACACTATGCCAGAACATTCTTGTCTAGCTGTATGATTTCCATGATCTTAGCATGTGTCATCTTCATACACTGTAAAAAACTATTTGTTGAGTCAACTTAAAAAACTTTGTTACCCTGCTGCCTTAACCCTTTGACGCGTACGATCACACCGGTGTGATTACAATTGGCTGGTCCCTGAAGCGTACGATCACACCGGTGTGATTACAACTTTCAGTGCGTCACGTCATCAACTGCTGAATTTAAATCCGCTTTCGCGCTTTGGCTGGCCAGAGCCCGATTGGACGCGCTGAGCGCTTGTCATATTATCACAAATATTAATTGTTTTCAACCATATAATACTTATTTTAGATTTCAGACATTAAAATACACATAAGTACTAGCAAAACCATACATTTACAGTTTGTAAAATGCACGCTGATGTCTATGGAAACGGCAATAATGATCCTTACAAATATAATCTGACGACATGTTTTTATTGATATCATATACAGATTGTGTAGGTAACTATAAAGTTTACTCTGTTCTTCTCCCAGTTTACCGGAGACCTAATTTAACGTGTTTTGGGAGGAGAGGATGAATTTGCGTGTTGTAAATCCCACAGCTCGGATTCAGCGCGAACTAACATGGCGGCGCCCATCACCCGGTATAGATCAAGTAACACGGTCATTATAAAAGTGTTTAAACTACCGAATAGATTTAATTGCACATATTTCAGAATCGGAATATCCGATATTTCATAATATAGTGAGCATGTTTGTGAATATTTTGAATAAAACAGGAAAAACGAAATAAAAGCGATCCATGTGTCATACAGATCTATTGTGGCTGCGTTGTGTCACATGACAAGCATGACGCGTCGCCATGGAAACAATAAGGCGATACATTTTAAAATAACGGTCGCCTAAAAAAACTCACGCTGGGGGCTCAGCTAGAATATTTTAAACTCACGTGCGAAAGGGTTGTTTGTTATCTTAATTTGTTTGAGTGTGATGCAGCTGTTGCAACATGCGTTTTTGAGTTGAAACAACCGTTTTAGCTTCAACTTTCAGCTTAGTTGAGGGCCAATAAACATACATTTTCTTGTTGTATGAAGTTGAAATGACAAAATCTCAAAATTATTTTTTACAGTGTAGGTGGTGCAGAAGATGTAACCCTGAGAGTCTTATGATACTCACTAATCCCACAGACTATAGAAATCATTTGTTATATGCAAAACAGACCTTATTTTCACCAAATGAATAACAGGCATGGTAGAAAACGCAATTTTCTTTCTTATCACTGTAATGAATTCTAGGATGTCAAATGCTGGAAGCTAAACTCTGGTAAAGCAAACTCAAGGTGTTCCATTGATTGGTTACATTCTGACAGTCTCCCTTACACTCCCAAACCCGCAATTTAGAGCAAATCCATAAATTCAATTCCAGAAATGACTATTCAACACAGCCTTAAAAAGTGCAAGTGAAATATTACTTGAAAAGACTAAGTTGTCAAAATTGCATAGTTTTAATTAGTTGCAGGTTCCTAAAACTGAAAACAAAACATTAGCCGTTCTTATAGTATTTGGAAAAACACTAATGTACCAGCTTATTATTTGTTTTGTTACACATCTGACATCTGTTCACAGTGAAGGCATTATCGCCTCCAGTCCTTCATGGTGAATTATGAGTGAAAGAAGCTCCTTTGGTCACAGCCAAGACGTTACCAAATCATACAGCACGACTGAGCTCTGTCTCAGAATTTCTCTGGATTCACACAGTCATTAAATGAATGCGTTCCACCACTTTCCGGCTCTCAGAAGTAAAAACAAAATCAAAACCACAAAATAAAATAGCTAAAACCTGAAAATCTAATGCTAAGTAACAGTAAAGGTTATTCCCTTAACCAGACGGAATCTGAATCGATTCACAGTGAATTCAGTAACACTCACCTGCCCCCAGGTGTCCTGTGTTGTATCCCTGATATCCACCGAAGCAGGTGTAGCAGTTCCTGTGATAGTAGCGGTAACGTGTATTCCCAGCACCCAAACTTGGGACCAGCTGAGTCCAGAAAGTAAATATGAGCACTAACCTCAGCCAATCGGATAGCATTGTCCAAGCGCAATGTGTTAGAGACCTCACTCAAACAGAAAGAAATAAGATCATGCAAACAAAACAGGATAAACAGACTCTCAGCATGTCCATTATGCAACAGGAGAGAACAACTGCTGCTGTGGGCTTGAGTAGCTATTTAAATAAGCTGTGTGTCCTGGCATCAGAATCAAGAATTTCATTCTCTCTCCCTCTCTCTCTGTCGGCATTGACAGACATGTAGTTTCTCGTGGCTCTGACTCTCCTATTATGGCTCCATCGCCTGTGTTCAGGGCAGGCCTCCACAGTCCCACCCTCCTGTCTGCCTCTGCTCCTCCTCCCTCCTCTCTTGGGTATTGATGCTGAGAAGTTTACCAAATGTTGTATGAAATGTTCACTCAAAACAAATGAGTGAACAGTGGAGGTTTTCAAAAGTGTGCTCATATTCTGGTCACTTTTGCTTTTACTACATTGAGTTTTTCTTTTAATTATGGTCACTGGGAACAGTGTTGGGTGTATTGCATTACTAAATAATTGTTACTGTACTTTAATTACTTTTTCCTTGAAAAAGTAAAGTAAGGGATTACTCTTAATTTTTCTGTAATTTGACTGCAGTTACTTTTGATGAAATTGCATTAAATACTGTATGGACTAGAACAATTCTATATAAAACAAGAGTGGATTTAACATCAAAATGTAACATCTAATGTTAAAATGTATGTTTTAAATGTAACCTTCACCCTTTAATTACTTTGGTCAGTTCAAGAATAATTTATGCAATTTTATATTATTTATTTGAAATAATTTAAAGAACAGTTTCATGTCTATCCTTGTATTGTTCAACTGATTGAGATCGATATGGGATTTAGAAAATAATTAATAAGTAATGCAACACTTCTAAGAGAGCGTAATTAATATAGAAATCAAATTACTCTGTTAAAGACGTACTTAGCTAGTAATTAATTACATTTTTAGAGTAACTTACCCAGTACTAATTGGTAAAGTTGAGCGCCATTCAGAATTGAACTGAGAACACCTTTTAAATTTAATTGAATTTTTAGTGCATTTTAACTGAGAGAAAAAAAAAAAACAGGAAGCTGAACGATAGATAGATAGATAGATAGATAGAGTCCAAACATGACATATGTGCTTGCAGTATTCGATGTATCTTGCATCTTGAACAACACAGGAATCTATCCAAAGTGACAAGGACAAGGAAATACGTAGTTAAAAATAAGAGGGAAAGCATGCAACAAACGCTGTATCAGTTCTTCTAGAGGATATGAAGGTTGAGGGGAGTTTAAAAGGTGCAGCTGGACATGATTCAAGCGTCTCTTTTCATGTGAGTTTTGAGAGTCAGATGAAAGGAAGGTCACTGCACGTCGTACTCTCTGTTGCGAATCCCTTTGTGTCACTGAGGCAGTCTAAACTGCTGCCAGGTGTGGGTTAAGGCTCATCTTAAACCATTTAATTAAATTGCATTAATAAGGACACACTGAGGCTTCCCTAAATTACAGAATACAATTCACAGATGCACACAATACAATGGTAAAAAACACCTTTACTCATTCTGCTGCTATTTATTCAGAGAAAAAACGTTCATGTCACACCAAACAGTGATTTCCAACAAATGATATGCATTAATCCAGTGGGTTGTGACTTAAAGTAGCTGAAATATAAAACTAGGGCTGTCAATTAGAATTAAAAATCACTTTATTTTGCAGATGACTTTTGCGGCAGAATATACCTATGTGCTGCTTTACACCCACAGTATATTTCTAAATTATTTCCAGTGTAATATGAGTCAAAAGTGACACATTTCTGATTTGGTGTCACTGAAGAGTCGAAGAGCTTTACTGATGAGGCTGTTGGTGTAAATAAGATAATAATAATAAAAAAAAAAAATGTTTGTCCACAAATAAAACTAATATAACACATGGGTCATTGCTATTGAAAATGCTTATATTTCCGGCGAGACCAGGAAAACATTTGAAAAACCATTATTCAATGATTTTATGCTGATTGTAAAAGATAGGCTTGCTTCAGTCTTGCATATGAACGACAAATGAAAAGCACCTGCTCGTTTTTTTTTTATTTGGTTTTGCTGGAACCAAAATCATTGATCCTAAAAAAATACATCAAACTAAACTGAGCATAAACTCAGTCCCAATAAATTACAGTCAGCTTCACAAGGATAGAGATTATTTTGTGGAGACTGACAGTACAAAAACAAAAACAATCACTTTTCCTGCATAGATCTGATCTCAGATTGTCCACATGTGTCTGTGAAAGAGTACAAGACAGACATGGTCCAGTATAAACTCACAGAGCAGATACAGCACACTGCCTCAAATCTGCAGAAGTAATTGAAGGGTCACAGCAGTTGCGATTGATTCTGGTTAAATAATCACCTGAAGAACAGGACTTTTCTTAATCGGTATTAAAGGAGTGCCGTGTAACTCTATAGTGGGTTCAGAAATCCATTTTGCCACAATAAACTACAGTATGAGATATCAGTCTTCTTGAACTGAATCTTCTTGCCATCTGCCTGGCACAGGTGTCTGGACTGGGAAGAATTAAATGGACAAATACACTTTCAACTTGAATTTCAAGAAAAAAAGTTTTCCATTTACAGGACATTGAATTTTTAATTATCTTCATTAAGTCATGAATTAAGTTAAATAGACCATACATCTTGCAGCCCTGAAGTCGTTCCAATTATCCCTCCAGTGATTGACCATAAATCATATGATGTCTCAGATGTTAAAGGTAAGCAGTTAAGGGAAATAAGAGAGAGCTGTTTTTACATAATCGATCATAGCTGCTGTATTTGGATTGAATGTCAAGCAGACTGCCAGTTTCAGCTCAACTAAATATTTAGAGCGTTGCCATTTAGCTTTAGTGATGTGCCAGGTAACTTGTCAGTGATCCACAGAAAATACACAGCTATAGTTCATATAGATACTGAAAGTCCTGCCCTATAGTTTAAAGTCAACGGCTCTTGCAAAATGGAGGCTTCAAGAAGGAGAGTCTGTTAATTATTGTTTGATTTCAAACTAATTTTGATGAGAAACAAAACAAAACAAAAAAATTTCTCCAAACTGCTTGTCCTAGGGTCGCAAAGTAATTGGACAAAACAAAAACTAATAAATACATAAATGAATTCACACACACACACACACACATATTTCGATGATTACTATTTAATGAATATTATGAAAAAGTCATTCTATCCGCCAAGGGATCTTTGGCCTGAAACAGGTGGAAATGGACATCAAAGGAAAAGTTCAGACATTGACTTTCAGTGGCATCACTTTAGTCAGTAATTTGGTTAAATCCAGTGCTCACAATGCAAACCTTAGTGTTGGAAATATCACAGAATCTCTTCTGTCTTTTCCATGAATCTGTGACCTCTGGGGAGATTACAAAGGAAGAAATGTTCCTTACATTTATGATGGCGTCCTCTCGCCAGCAGGACTGATCTCACAGCAAACCTCACAAATGCAATAAAACCCATCTCAGGTTGTGGGATTTTCAGCTCATCTTTATGAGCTGCATTTAAGAAGTTCTTTGAGATCAACTTCTTAGGTGATACTATGCCCTGCAACCATTAGCGTGAGATGGAAAAATGTGGTTTGCTAAGTATGTTGGTTGCTGAGTGGTAAAGTGGCTTCTCGAAATGGACTGAAGCAGTTCTGAAACCGATAAACAGAGCCATGCTTCTCCATGTATCTAATATAGTTGTCTGTATAGTCTAATACAATGCCAGTTGAGCTCACTAATATTTCCTTTGATTAATGAGGAGAAGAAAAGATCTAAATTTTTAGCCAAAACCTAATGCAAACCATGTATGCTATCTTGATTTATAATATCGTCCAAACCTCCCTCTTTATCTCAAAAGCAAGTCTTATTGATGGACTTATAGATGGCTCAAGGTTTATATTATTGCAAGCAGTGGCCGATGGTAGATTTGGACTGATCCATCACCCTTGCAGATGTGAATGAACATCTGCAGTACTGTATACATGCAATAAACCATTCAGACAAATTAACTGTAGCCTCGGAAGTATGCATTCACTGTGGAATGTCTTTATGAAAACAGTTTTGATAACCTTTCTTTATCCAGCACACTTTGTGGGAAGAAAACAACTCCTACTGTGGAGGAAAATGTGATCCAAAATTCAAAATAATTTCACTATGTAGTTTCAGTCATTTTACTTAAATGAAGGGTGTGGATGCAAAATAATATATCATAATGCAATGATTCATCTGTCAGTCACATTATTTTTTTGTGACACCTTTCAGTATATAAACGTTTAAACATTATACTGGCACAAACCTTGCTGCCAGGATGTTTACATCGGTACACTGCCAAAAGAACCCACTCCCATGTTTCTAAGATTTTACCCAGATATGCTTGGGGAGCTTTGCTGTGTGGTTACCACGGCATTGTTATGTTGTAGCTAGGATGTTCTGTGTGGATCCTAGTTTAATGGAGGCTAGTAAGAGCTGTGAAGATAAACCTCACTCCCTTGGCCTCAAAAGGCACACTAGCAACTGGCGCTAGCGGCTGCGGTCTTATAGCGTCCTTGTTAGTGTGCCTGACTACCATACTGGAGATGCCCATTTGTGGTTTCTAGGGCGTTATGAGTGGTTACTAGGGTGTTGGTTGTTGCTAAGGCTTTGTGGGTAGTAACTAAGGTGTTGCTAGGTGGTTGCTAAGGTGTTTTAGGCAGTTGCTAAGCTGTTTGCAAACATTGTAAATCAGGTAAATTAGAAAAGACATCCCTTCTCAATAAGCCACATGATTTGATGTCTCATTAATATCCATACGTCATGAAATGTTGTTGAAGGAGTAACTCACTAAAAGTTTGTCTGGAAGAAGAATGCGTATCCAAGAATTATAACCAACACCACAAATAGACTCAGTTTAAACAAAACAATTTACTCTGAAACCATGTTTTCAGTTACTGACCTAAATAGAGGTTGCATGGTATGAAGTTCTGGACAAAGACAGATAAATTAATGAGTACTCCCAATGGCTACATGCCTTACCCATACTTAAAGAGGAAGTTTACTTTGGCCTCTCAAGTGAAGTGTCAGCAGTCAAAGCACCTTTTGATGGCCTCGTAGTTCAATGAGTGTCATTACAAAG